CAATAGATTTCAAACAAACCTTGCTTAGTAAATTTTGAAAATTCAGTTTCATGATTCCTATTATTCCGATCAATAAATTATTTAAAATAAATCGGATCAATAATATATTATTAGAATAAATACCTAATAATTAATTTAACCTACAGCAATACAAAAATCTGAGAGAAATTAACTCGAATGTGTCCCAACCATTCATTAAATTTCCTCAACTCATCCATAGTTCCATGCTCTGTCATATCACCACAATGAATTAAAATCATCTTCTTCCCCTCGGGACAAGGAGGAAATTTCAAGTAACGATGAAATCCATGAGTATCCGAAATAACAACAATTCGCAAATGATGAACATCAACAAAATGTTCAATTTGAATTTTTACAGGTTCCAAGGTTTGTAATTCTCTCAACCAAAGAGGTTCCGAGGAGACACTCTGATGAGGAATATATTCATCAATTGTATGATTCGTTTCCAAGTTTTCCGGAGTGATTGTTAGTATTGTGTTGTTGCATTTTTTTTTGTTTGAGGTTTTTAAAGTTTCAATGATTTCTATTTGAATTTCAATTTATTGAATTTGATCGTTCTTGGTTGGTTGGAAAGATGGTTGTAATGAAAAACACGTGTTTTCTTGCTTAATCAGATCTTTTCTGCAAACTCTTGAGCAGATTATTAATTTCCATAATGAAGAAAAATTTTGATAGGTTGACTGATTGTAAAGAGGAAGGACAACAATTTCAAATTCAATATTTCACTAAAATCATCACCACTGCTAGATGTATCAAATTCCAATGATGAGTAAAGGTATATTTTGATTTGGTGAACTTTGAAACAATTTTACAATTAAAAAAAATGTGCTACCAACCTACCCTGCTCCTTCCCTTTGAAATTGTCTATGATTTTGTAGGGGATAATTTACGATCTTGGGATGAAGCGATTCGGGCTAATAATTTACGAATTTATGAATTGATTAATAGAAAGAATTATACGAAAGAGCAAACACACGAATTGCAAGACAATTATTCGGAAATTCAAGAATTGATAGAAAATTTTCATATTTTAAATTCATCGGAAAGGAACGAATTGAGAAAATTATTGACTCAGAGATGTATTGCAAGATTACAAACAAAAGAGTGGAAGTTTGCAAAACAAGATTTGATACATGTTATTAAGATATTAAATTTTGAACCAATTAGTGGAACAAGTGAAGAAGTATCATGTCCTAGCTCATACAGTTATTTGTCTGAATATTTGATGGGTCTTTGTTGTGATGGATTGGGAGAGTTTAGTGAGGCAGTTCAACACTTTAGGAATGCAATCAAGCATCGTGAAGAGGTGGAACAAGTGTTGAAAGTGGGAAAGGAAGATTTGGAAAAGAAGTTGATCAAGCTGGAGGAGCCTTTCTTTCTTGTGCAAATGGAAGAAAAGAAATCTATGGAGGAGAAGGGAATGAGGAAAAGACTTGCTAAGTACTTTAATTGGAATGGTAGTTCAAATATTGAGTCGAAACGATCAAGTTTTGTTACACTTGAAGAATTGTACATAAGAGCAGGTCTTTCTTATTACCTTGAAACATTCTATTCTGATTCTATCATTTATTTAAATAAGGCCATCACTTTGGGAGAAGAAAATAATTCAGAATTAGTTGCATCATCGTATTACAATAGAGGACTTGGTAAATATTATCTAGGTGATTGGAAAGGAGCTATTCAAGACTTTTCAAAATCGATATCATTAATGCCAGTTACTGAACAGAGATATCAAAATTTAATAATGAGAGCATCAACGTATGGTATAGACAGTTGTAGGTAATGGACATTTGTTGCTCTGACCAATATTTTTTTACAAGTCTAAAAGGCTTGGCTTGGGGACAACAAAAACGGGACATGAAGAAAATTGTTGGAGGACAATGTTATTTCTCAAGATGTTGTTGTTGTTGCACCAATAGTGAAATCCTGTGTTGGAAAGCAACCAAAAAGTGAAGAGAGGTACTTCATTGTTGAAGTAGTTTGGTTTTTTTGTTTGATGAAATTAAAGTTTATTTTGATGAAAGTGTAACGTCTTCTTTTATGGCGCCAACTAATGTAACGGTTTATTCTCGACTTGTAACATTTTTTAAAATCGCGTTGAAAAATGGCTGGAGTTTCGACTTGGCCAAAAATTTTTTGGGGACAAAATTTTATCTACCTACAACTGTCTATATGGTAGATTAGGAATGTTCAAAGAGAGGGATTTAGATATAACCAAAGCCAAATTGATCAACCCTTACAAATCTATACCATTATTCCACTTTCGTTTGTTGAATGAAGATAATTGGAGTCATATCATGTCATTCCTCCAAACAAAGCAATTACTAGTCATGAGCTCGCTCAATAAGTTTTCCAGAAATATGGTTACAATCTTTTTACAGGAGCATGATAT